TACAGATGCAGCAATGGTTCTCGTGAGTCTTTTTCTTGGAGTATATGAATTTGAACTAATCTCTCTCGTATCTTTTTGAAATTCCTTTGAAACTTAGGGGATCTGCCCGGTTTATAAACAGAAACAACATAGTGGGGCCTGAATTAGCCTTCTATCCTACAGCAGGAAAGAGATGTTATCAGAGCTACGATAACTTTTCATATAGGTCACGGTAAGTGTATGAAATATTTCTAAGAAACAGTGTAGGAAATTTATGTTTCTTATTTTATCAGTCTGTAAGGCAGCACCCCTTTTGGATGAAAAGAATATTCTAAAATATTTGGGGAAATTGTTGAAAAATGTGTGTTGTTGTTTGAGTGTTGAGAAACTCCTATGAGAAGAAGCCTGGACTTAAGAATCTTTTCAATTCAGTTCTTTTCTGCAGAAAAATCTACACATGATAGTTTTGCATAGAAAACAGCATTTTTGTATGTGCAGGAAACCCTGAATGGAAAACGACATTTCTAAGGAGGAGTATTATTTTCTGTGCAACAAATAAGGTTTGCTGCACAGAAAGGGTTGCTTTTCTCTGTAAAACAACCACATGCACATTTCCTGCAGAGCAAGTCCCAAATTGCACAAAGGCCTTCAGAAACTGTGTGGTTTTTGAACATTTTTTCACAGCGGGAACAAGATTGCTTGTTAAAATTGCTCATTGCCTCTTTCATGTATAAGCTTGGAGAAGAATTACATCCCTAAGTACCCACCATTCTGGTGCCCTCCAGGTGTTTTGCATTCAGACTTATGCCATCCTTACCTGGCCTGGGTAGGTAGTGAGCAAGCTTTCTGGGGACTGATGGCTATCACAGTGGTCCTCATCCTTTGGAGGACCAAAGGATGTTGTAGCCACCAGATGCTTTGGACTTCAGTTCCTAGAAACCCAAGCCAACACAACTAATGGATAGAGATTCTGGGAGCCCAAGTGCAAAATATATGGAGGACTAGAAGTTGAGAACCACTGGCCTACAACATTGGGAAGGCACCTGGTTCAATCTTCTAAGTTTATCTCCCGGTGGAAGATGAAGCAGAGAGCAATAGCACTTCTTGTTGAAGCTGTTTTTGTCTTGAATGAGACTGCTGGTCTTTGGTCCAACCCAGCATTTACTCTAAAAAGCAGGTGTTCTCCAATGCTACCATGCAGACATATTTCGGTAGCGGTCATTTAACCTTGGGTAGAACCATTTGACTTCCTTCCAACTGAGAATATGATCTGCTGCAGAGTTACAGTCCCTCTGGGTTTTGTAAAGCAGAGCAGCAACTCCAGAGAAGGTGGCATTGTGTTTAATGAACTCATTTCTTCTATCTTAAAAAAAAAATTACACACACATCAATTTCTAGCTTCTGTAGCATTTTTGTTTGGAAGCCTGAGGCAACTGTTTAATGGTTTCTAACACAACCGGTGATCCTTGCATCTCTGTGTTCAAATAAGGCTTTTCTTTTGTTTTACTGACCCAGAGTTCAAATACATGCCCATAGTCTCACATTGACATCAGGCCTATTCTTACTATAGGGAATAAAAATGAGAAACTGTTGACATTAAAAACACGGATCTGTCAGGATAATTAAATTCAATAGTTCATTTATTATTAAAATATTTATGTTTCGGCTTCTATCAGACAATCTCACTGTGCTGGAGAATAAAATCAGTTCAACCAATTTAACCAAAGAAAATAGCAACAAATAATTCCAACAAACTAAAATCATGTTGAGAGACAGCATGGTGTAGTGGTTTGAGTGTTGGACATTGACTCTGGAGACCAGGGTTCGATTTCTAGCTTGACCATGGAAATCCACTGGCTGACCTTGGGTGAGGCACATACTCTCAGCCCCAGAAAACCACATGATAGGGTCCCCACAAATTAGAAATGACGTAAAGGCATGCAACAATAGCAGAAAGCATATGAAATGCTTTAACAAGTTAAAACTGATGAAAAAGATTTAAAGCTATCCACAGGTATATTTTGGAAGAAATCAGTTAGGTCCCAAAGGCTTTAATTCAATGGTTCCCAAACGTTGGTTTGCTAGATGTTTTGGACTTCAGCTCCAAAAATTCCTGATTGTTGGCCAATCTGGCTGGGGCTTCAAGTCCAAAATACCTAGAAGACCAAAGTATGGGAACCACTGCTTTAATCAAAAGCCGTGCTTTTACTTGGTGCCAGAATGAAGTCAGTGTCAACACGATTCAGGCTTCCAAGGGGAAGATTTTCCACAAACAAGGTACCATAGCTGAGAAGACCTTCTCCTACATCCTCCCTACAGTGAATAACTCTCAGTGGAGGGCCTTTCCTGCAGATCTCAATCCTTGGGTAGGATTATATTGGAAGTATCAATGTCTGAAATGATTATATATATATCATTACCAGCATGTTGTATAACATCACCAGTACCTTGAATTGAGACCAGAAGCATATTGCAAGTCACTGTAGGATAATTGTAACATTATATCTGATCATTGGTAGATGGGCTCTTTCAAGGATAAGATTCTTTTCCTCCCTAAACATCCCATTCATAAGGAATGTTATGGTCACAGTGATGGCTTTTAATGTCTTGCTCTATTCTTCTGGAAGTTCATACAGCCGTAGTCGCCGGCAGATGCAGTGTGTAAATAAGGAGTGCCAGTATGGATTTTCTCCTGAGAATGGCGAGGAGCCTCAAGGTTTGGAAGAAACCATCACTTTCTATGAAATTGAAGAAGGGGATGACACAACTTATCCTGCGTTACCAGTAAGTCACTGCAGACAATTGTGTAGAAAAACATTTCAGGAGAAACAGTGGTTTCTTGGCACATTGTCCATTTGTATGTGCCTCTGAGTCACCTGTCAACGTATGATGACCCCATTAATTTCAATGAGTTTTCTTAGCTGAGAAATGTTCAGAGATGGTTTTGCCAGTTCCTTCCTCTGAAATATAGACTACAAGACCTAGTGTTTGTTGGTAGTCTCCTATCCAAGTACTAACCAGGGCTGACCCTACGTAGCCTTCAAGATCAGTCGGATCTGGTGCTTTTAGGGTATTAAGGCCCTTTCAGATTTACACATACTGAAACACTAATTGAGTTCCCAGCCCTTAAGTAAGGTTCTCATGATTGATTCATTGCAACCTTTGGACCTCCAGATGATGAAAGCCCATGTCAGAAATTTCTTTCTCTCAGTCCCAAAGGTGCTATAGAATTCCTGTATACCTTTTAATGATGAAACAAACTTAACACATGTAGGTCTTAAAATATACTTCATAAGGGGAAGGCTGCAAGGTAAGACAGATCTGGGGAGTCATTCTTTTAAAAGAGTTGTATTTATTAATTACAATGTATATCAGATTAATATATAAAGGAATATAGCTAAGAGGATTCAGTTAAACAGTATCTTGCATCATGAAGCAAGAGTAATGAGTACAGCTGTATTCAGTGTAAAATATTACTACATTCAGAAACGTTGTGAAGAGCCAGACATTTTGTATATATCCAGTACGGGGGTGGGGGGGGGGCTGAATTTGCAGGAGTGATTCATAATTTCAGTACATTGTGATTTAGATTGCAATTTCTTATTAGTTCTTATTGGAATGGTTTATTGCTGCAGTGATTCATTGTCATTATTCAAAGTAGCTAAGCAAATGCATAAGTGTAGAAAAGACATTGTTAAATTGACATTCATCAGAGCCATAAATGTGTTGTCAGACCTCATTTTTAAAAAACTTTTTGTTACTGTGAATTTGCAGTTACACTTGAGTTAACAGTATATGTGTAGTAAAAAAAAAATCACTTGTGTTTCTGTTGGCCATCTCCATACCTTGGTTGTTGAATCATAATTGTTGCTTTTAAGACTCACCTGCCTTGCTTCCTTTGGGTTAGAATGGGGAAAGACTGTTGTAATGTCAACTACATGCAGTTCTAATGAAACCCGCCATTTTGTTTCCCAGAATCAGAGCAACCCAACTCCAATTGTTCCTGCTCCTGCAGGATTTTGGGTAGCAAGAAGGGGCCCAAGCCCCATTCCACCCAACAAGCAGGGTTTGAATTCTTCAGAGGAAGAAGTGGATGAGCCAAGTGATAATGGTAAGCACCAAATTTCCAAAGAGAAGCTCCTACCACTTGATATAGAATTGCAGGCCATCACATCACTGTTAGCCAACATGGCTAGGGAAACTGGTTTCAGAGGAAGGTGCTTGCACTTTCTTTCTGTGTGTTTGTGTGGATGTTCCTTCAAGTCACCTGTCGACTTTGGTGACCCCATGAATTTCATAGAGTTTCTTAGGCAAGGAATACCCAGCGGTGGTTTTGCCAGGCCCATCCTCTGAAATACATCTGGTATTCATTGGCATTCTCCCAACCAAGTACTAACCAGAGCTGACCCTGCTTAGCTTCAGATGAAATCTGGTGCCTATGTCAGTTACAAATTTGCTATTGGCAGTTATGACAAGCCCCCTTAATATAATTCAAAATGTGAAAGGTTTAGACAAGCCAGACTGAATCCTGTTGGCTAGTCCCAACTAGAGGAGACCCATTGACTCAGTAGGTAAGTAGTGAGTCAACACATAGGTAAATTCCATGGATTGAAGTGAATCTCCTCTAGTTATGAGTAACAGTAGGATTGAGCCTGCCCAATCCTACAGAAGAGAATGGTAGATCTTGAAACATTTTTCTAGTAGTCCTTCCATTAAAGTTTTTTTCACATCAAGTGTGTTTCTAATTTGTCCCTCTGATAATGTGCTTCTCCTCTTCCTTGCTAGGAGAGTACCATGAGGATTATCTCTATACCCCTTCAGGTCGGTACTATAGCAACATTCTCGATATACCTAAGTCATTGTTGTTGTTGTTGTTGTTGTTGTGTGCCTTCAGTCATTTTCAACTTATGGTGACCCTTTCACTGGGTTTTCTTGGCAAGATTTCTTTAGAGGAGGCTTGCCATTGCCTTCCACCAAGGCAGAGAAGTGTGACTTGCCCAAGGTCATCCATTGCGTTTTCCTGGCCTAACAGGGATTTGAACTCTTGTCTCCAGAGTCCTAGTCCAACACCCGAACCACTATGCCACTCTGGCTTTCCTACTTTAGACTACCTTAAATCTTTCACAAACTTACAAGCAAACAGCATCATCATAACGTTGGCCTGCTTCAGTTTTCTGTTTGTTCATGTCTTCCAGATCCAGACTGTGAAACTCCGACAGTATTTAGCACTGCTGAATCTACTGCAAACTTAGTAAGCTTTAGTCAAGACCTGTGAAATTAACCTTTGTCATAGTGTGTTAGCATTCAAGCAAGTGGGCCATGAAAGAAGCGTTTAGATTTGGATCCAATATAATATGTGGTGTTTGCCTGACCTTCTCTTTATATATATATATATATATATTTGGAGGCTTAAGCAAACCTACTCACCATTGCAACTGTGGCATCTGGTGAGAGTGGCAAGCAGCCAGCTTTCATTTCAGCTTTGAGACTGAAGAATTGGCTGGTTGTGTACACTCCAGAATCTGCATCTGCTGTTCTGAAGCTGGAAGATTGGCCATTGTTTGCCATCTGCTTGGCCAAGGTGTCCAAAGAACCTCACAGGGTTCAGCAATACACATCCTCCTTTCTTCTGTAGACTATGTGATTGACAAGTGTCATATCTGATTCTGCCCAGAGTCACTGTAAGTACCACTTAGTTTTGGGGTCCATTCACACTCTATAGTACTATATTCTACTTTAAGTGCCCTGGTTCCATCCTTTGAAATCTTGGGCTTTGTACCTTGGTGAGGCACTGGAGCTCTCTGGTTGCAAATTTTAAATGGCCCTAAACTGCAAATCCGTATAATGGAACCATAATAATAATAATAATAATAATAATAATAACTTCTTTATTCTTATATCCCGCCTTTTGCCAAGGCAATCAAGGCGGCTTACAAATATAAACCATGGCAATTAAAAGTGGAACAATAGTGCTACAGTTATACAATATGCATGGACCCCTGGTGTGACATAGCATTTAAACCAGGTTTGATACACCAAAGTGTTAAAGTAGCCAAACTATGATTTGGAAATGGATGCACACCAGAATGTTTCCTTTGAAACTAATTCGCTCACCATGATTAATGAGAACCTTCAAAGGACAGAATTCACAATTTCCTTTACGTTTTACGTTTTCATTTTAAAGTCTATGTTAGTTATATATAGACAGTTTTATCAATGCCTTCTCCAGTACTTTCAAGCAAATTGATCCCTTTAATGTTTTTGGATGTTATCTTAAGGACTTTGCTCAGGTTATACTTCAACAATCTCATGGGATTTGTGCCCCTGAGTTCTGTTGCTCATGAAAAGGAGTCTTCCTGTGTTTTCAAATGACTATGGTAGCTGAAAGTGTTTTTCCTTTTCTAGGTAAAACTGTTATACAGTATGTCCCAGCCAAAATACCTTCCATGTTTGTTACTTAACAGGTTTCAGTTGTGTGTGTGGGTGAGCAAGGGGAAGTTATGTTTTGGAGTTGGCCCTCATTAATATATTCTGTCTAAGTTATTAACATCCAATAATGGTTTTTAATTTTTTGTTCTTTCTTAATTGCTCTGTCTAGTCTCTGCAAGACGGGAGAACAGGTACTCTGTCTTCTCAAGAAGGAGTTGCTTCATACAGTTACTCTCAAAAGGTAATCTCTTTGGAGAAGAAGCTGTGAACTGGTGGTGTAAATTTTTTATAAATGTTGTCTTTGCAGACAAAAACAAATAGTTACACCAATTTTTTTTTTCTCATTGCAAAGCTTCACCATCTAGCGAGACAATTCATTCCCTGCCAGACATTAAGGGGTGAGGGATATTTGGTGAGGTCATGCAAATTTCAGGCTTGGTTTAAGGCTTTTTTGTAAGGAGTAACAAAAGGGCTTGCTGCCACTCTGCCAAGTGGGTAATGTAGCAATGGCCCAGAAATGCAGCTAGGCTGCTCTGAGCATCTGCGCCTCCTCTCTAAAGGTAAAGGTATTCCCTGTTGATAAGGTTGTAAGTCATGTCTGACCGTAGGGAGCGGTGCTCATCTCCATTACTAAGCCAAAGAGCCAGCGTTGTCAGAGAATATTCTGTGATCATAACGCTGTTTACCTTCCAACCAAAGTGGTACCTATTTATCTACTTGCATTTGCATGCTTTCGAACTGCTAGGTTGGCAAAAGATGGGACTAATGATGGGAGCTCATCCCATCCTGCAGCACCTGAGCTTCGAACTGCCAACCTACCAGTCTTGCAACCAACAGAATCAGCAGCTTAACCACTTGAGCCTCTCTAGTGGTCACAATATTGCCTTTGGTCACAGAAAGAAGGGAATGGGAGAGAAGAAAACCTTGAGGTTTTTCTGTCCTCCTGACATAGGTGGGCAAACATTGGGGGGAACTGGAGGATGCAGAAAGGGATGGGGACCCTCTGCAATGTACCTGTCTTTAAGATAAGAGCAGAATCTTAATGTAATTTGCCTCCCCTCCTCCCAGATTGGTTTTTGCTCCAACCCTCTTAATAGTTATGGAACTTTGCTGGCCAAATACTTCATCCTCACATTAATTTTAACTCACTTTTGATCACTTAAGGGTTCATTCACTTGGCCACCTCTAATCATCCATCATCTTCTTCATCATCATCAGATTGTGTTCTGAAATACAGACTAGTGACTGAATTTAGAAGGCAAAAAGTGGGATTACAGAGCTAATTGTTTGCATCATACCCCATCATAGAGGATGTTTAGGCATGGTGGGCATCTCTGCAACCGCTATTCTTCAGTAATGCAGCTGTAGGGAAGTGGCAAAGGCTGTTTAAAATCTAAGTAGTGGGTGTGTGGTATGTGTGCATTTGAGAGAGAAAGTTTGAAGTCACTCCGCCTGGATGACATACATGTAAGAATTTTTAAAGACCATAGAAGTGAAATTGAGCCTGTAATGACTGTTTAGCATTACGCTTAAAACTGGGTCATAATAAATGAAAACTTCTGTAGTGCCAAAGGAGTTTTCATACCAAGCTGCTTGTCCTTGTGTGGCCTTTCTCTTGTGACCATCAAAGCAGAAAGTTTGTGGGATATTCCCCCTTCCCTGCCCCATTTTTCTGAGGTTGCTTTTTTGCAGGTAATGGTGAATTCTGCAGTTATTTCTTCCTCCTCTTGCGTCAATCCTGCTCCAGCCTCAGTCTTCTCCTCCAGCTCAACAGCGCCTGCTCAAGTCAGTGTCACCACAACTGCACCCCAGAACGCTGTGCAACCCATCATTGTATCCCCTTCTGTGGGAAGGCAAGGTGAAGTATTGGTGCCTTTTGCCACAATAGTGTTTACATTTTTACATTCACATATGTACCAGTAAGGGCTGAGCATATCCAAGGATCAAATTAGATGTTAAAAGGATTACGGGGTCCTAGTCCTAGCATCTTCCCTCCCACCCAAGAAAAATTATAGTTGCATGCCTTTGCAATTAGACTTGCAAATTAAGCCCATGTTTACTTTTCCAATGACCACTTGCAAAACAAAGCATGCTGGAATGCAAAGTGTAGACATGAAGGAAAGCCTCTGCTAGAACATAGATACTTTTCTTTACTTAAGAAAGCACCAATTCCAATTATGTGCTCTTGTCTAGTTTGATTCCAATTTGCAGGATCTAAAGCAGAGCAGTGGAGGATAGGGAGTCTTGAGATGTCTTATCCAATAAGACAACAACAACATTTCCTTAGGGAGCCAGTGAGTGTAGTGGTTTGAGCGTTGGACTACAATTCTGGAGATTAGAGATGGATTCCCCTCTCAGTCACGGAAACCCATTGAGTCACCCTAGTGAGTTGCACACTCTTAGCCCCAAAAAAGCACACTGCAACAACACCGTTTCCTTAAAAATGTCAAATTAACCTTCTTCATTTGCTGAATCTTCATAAAGCTGCCAGCCTTCCCTCTCTCCCTGGCTCCTGCAAAATGGCTCAGTGCTTCTTGAAAAATTGAAAGGCCTTGGAAGATCTGAAACTGCACATTGAGAAAGCCAGAGTCTGGCTGCATATTATACCCATCACATGAAAAATAACTATGTGTCATGTGCCAGTCTCTGGCTCTTAACAATTTTAAAGGCTTCCCTTGAGAGAGGCAGAGAAGGCTAGGGGGAATACTATTCCTGTTTGGTGCTTCTCTCGCTTTTTACTTTGCTGCATAGCTTATCATTCCTTAGCTGTCGATTGTCTCTAGGGATTAGGAGTGGGAGGACCAAACTCCAGAGACACAGTGTTATTTTTTTTGATCAGTAATTTTTCATTTTCATTATTGCTAACAACAGTAAAATGAAATAAAGGCGATTGAATTAAAGTTGGGGGGGGGAGCATATCATTTGGCGAGGAAATATATATCATTATTTTTAGAGGTACATAAAACATCAGAAGAGGGGGAAAAATGAGACTTCTTACTGTCTCATGTCAACGTTAGAATATATTGAACCTTGTTGGAGCTATTTAAAATCCAGTCTTCTGTTGTTGCAGAAATAGATGGGAAAGTAAGGAACAGGTTAGCAGAGGTAGACAGAAGGGAAATAAAAGAAAGAGGATGAAATGAAATGTTCTGAATGACAGCTGGGAAAGTTTTCTTTTTCTTCAAAGACTACACTTTTGAGTATCATTGCTGGCTCTCTCTATTGTGGAAATTGTAGTCTGAAAAGGGGAAAAACCTTTTCCAATGTCTGGATCCAACTGGGTAAAGAAGCAGATTATCATGTCACTTCCTTTGCATAGGGGCAACATTGTTATCATCACAACACTCCAAAAAGTTATCCCACATGCCATCAAATCTTTACATTATATTCTTCTATATGTGCTTGTATACATAAATATATATGTGCTACCTAGTCATGGCGAGTAGCAAGTTTTCCAAGTCCTTGAAAGTATTTTTTAAACAACAGAGAGAACATGATACATATAAGCCACATGCTTCTTATTTGAACCCCTGGAAAGAAAAGAAAAGGACTGAGCCAGTTGTTCCAAAACCTACCAATGGCTTACAGCTTGTGTACATGTGTGAGGAAGTGTGAAATAACATGGATGAAGAACAATTGGAGAAAGTTATGCAAGGGTTTAATT